CTCATGAAGTTCTGAAGCTATATTTAATGATGCCAACAGATTGTGAAGACATTAGAATAATGTCCTGTATGTCAGATTCTGTGGCACAAAATTCATATATAGTTTGCTAATGGCATAGTGCCCAGACAAAGATGTGCTTAGCTTTTGCCAGTGAAGCAGGCAAAAATTTAGATAAGCAGTTGAAATATCAACTGAATTCAATGGATAAATCCAGTTATTGACATATATCTTTAACTCTGACTAGTTCATTATCATAATTTGAATATGAATAATTGAACTCTATAGCAAATTAATGATTGACAGAACAGTTCTAGAGAAATCTATTAAAAGAAAATCTTACTAAGTTTTTACTTACTCCCAGGTATGCATAAAATTGCAGGCTATGGCCTTAATATTCAAATTCATTCTGTATTGGTGTTATACCATTATATCATGCACATAGCTAACACAAAAGCATGCTGAGAAATATAGTAAGGAAAAATGACAGAAGTTCTTGCACACAGATCATCACTGAATTGTTTCTTCTTACTCATAAAGTAGTATTCCTGGGCTACAGGACAATAAGATTGTCAGAAAATTTGTACTGTTGGAATGATATAAATTCTAATAAATGTACTCCACCACAAGATTCTATAGCCAGATTTCATTCTGTATGTTGCCTGAAGGGGTTTCAAATATTTGGAAGTAGGTGTGGACAAATAAGGAAACATATCTATACCAGATTTTTTTCCAAAGAATTAAAGGTGACTTCTATTGGAATAGTTGCTCAATTTGTCTGCACCTATCTCACTTTCACCTATACTAAAATGTTTTTGAGACAACACTAAAACCTGCAAAACATGTTTGACCGGAGATGACAGTCGGTGAGAATTATATATATGCAAACCACAGGAAGTGAATCCTCTCTCAAAACTACACTCAGTCTTTAAAATTTCCACTACGTTGAACATCTGTTGAAACAGACAAATCCCTGAAAAGTCTACCCGGAAGTAAGCCCCCTTCCTTGTTCCCTATAAGTATAAGGGCAAATTTCAATGGTAGAAAATACGCAGTCACTCTATAAATCTTTCACCACAAGAGAAATGGGAAAGACTGTATCAGATACAGCACAGACTTACATTCAAAGCCAGTTGTTACTACTAGCTGCAAGGGGGGGGGGGGGAAGGCAGCCTGGAGTGATCTAGTCAGTTACAAAGCAATTAAGAAACATGTCAGTATAAGCATGATAGCCAAGAGACAAAATCCAAGAAGTCATTGGGTGACAAGCTACTTTCTGTCCCTCTCTATAGCTATATGCTAACTTGTCTCTCTATGTCACCTACATTAAAATGCCTCTCTTTCTTACTAAGTGCCCCATCACACATAGTTGACTGTGTGCAAACCAAACCACGCCCTGCTGAAGTGCAGGGAAAGTCATGCAATGAGGTCATGGTTATGGGTGGAGACCAAGCTGAGTTCAGCAAGGAGACCTGGTCCAGCTTGACTCACAGCTTGTGGGTCCCTCTTGGGCTGGGACCAGAATGAGGAAACTAGGGAATGCTAAATAATTCTGCCTTCTTTCATAAAGAGCCTCTTCTGGTTGGCTTAATGGACTCAGCCTCCAGGGTCTGTCAGCGGATGAAATGTCTTAATTTAAGGAACTAAAGATGACCAGCAGCTAGTTCTCCTTGAGGGCCACTACGAGATGCAAGAAAGGGAAAAACATCAACTTGTATCCTATAAAGAAGGTCTACTTCAAAATCTATTTCTACCAACATAGTGCTCTTCCCATGTTTTCCTCATTACTTTTCTCATGCAGAAAGAACTTGCTCTATCCAGACATATATTCTAATATGTGTGTCTATATACCATTTATTTATCATATTTATATGCCGCTCATCTCGACCAAAGCATCTCTATGTGTAATGCATATATATGCATTTTTTATTAAAGACATTTCTAAAAGAATAAAAGCAATACAAATTTTTGAAAGAGAAAAGTAAGGAAAGGAACAAGTAAAAATAGAAAAAAGAAAAAGAAAAGAAAAAAGTTATAAAGTGGCTTCTGGTCTTCTTAACAGAAGTTAGAAGTTCGCTAATATTTTACCTTTTCTAAGGTTTTCTAAACTTTCAGCTATCTGGTAGAACATCACTGAATTGGGAATGTATTCTGTGCCTTGTGGACATATCCCAAGTTCTCAAAAATGTATTTCATTGCTCACGTTTCTTATTTGGGTGCTCATATATGAGTAATTTATTGTACGAAATTGTATAAAGTAGACATTGCATGGTGGTTACTATTCTTTTTTCCCATTTTATTCTCCTTCTCCATGTAAAATGTGAAACATACACACACACATAAAGAGTACTCAATTTCTTTTCTAGACAGTTGCCCACTTCTCTTTCCATTCATATCCTGGTTTTATAGATAAAATCCTCATCAACAAGGATTTCTCTCCTAAACCAGGACTTTGAGTCCCAACATTTGAGTAAAAAAGTGCCCCTAAGAATGTAAAAATGTTACTCCTTACTCACCCAATGCTCTCAGTAATGAATCAGTAAACACTTGAGGTAAAAAAAACTCTCTTTAATAACTATTTAACATATAGATATGAAGGAAAGATGCTGCAAATATAATTTCAGCTTTATGAAAGCCTAGTGCCATTAGGAAGCATACCTTGGTAGATTGTGAAGAAGCTATTTCCACGTAGAAGTTGCACTGTCTTGAAACAATGTGAGGCAGCTACCAGCACATGCACTCTTATGGGGAAAGTATCCCTCTGAACGGGAAAAACAATCCCTATAGGGTATATTCTGGGCAGTTCCCATTAAATAAATGGGGCCTTAAGAGAGTTGGTATAGACCAGCGATGGCAAACCTATGATGTGTGTGGCAAAGGTGATATGCCACATCATTTTGGGTGAAACACCAGCATTCTTCAACAACTATTCTTGAAAGTACAGCCTGTTCTCATGGAATTTTTGGAGGCTGCAGAGGCTGCACTAGAAGTGAGTATGCTCTTGCATGGCCTCCAGAGCCCCCCAAATGCGTGAGAATGGGGTGTGCTTTCACACCATTTTTGGAGTTTGCAGAGGCTGCAAAAAGAGCATTCTCCAAAGCTGCTTCAAAAATGAGGGCTTCATGAGGTTTGGAGCAGCCCCACATAGGCCACAAGGGCCTGTCAACAGAAAGGAAAGATCAAATACAAATACAATAGCAGAGTTGGAAGGGACCTTGGAGGTCTTCTAGTCCAACCCCCTGCCTAGTCAGGAAACCTTATACCGTTTCAGACAAATGGCTATCCAACATCTTGGCGCAGTGGTTAAATGCAGCACTGCAGGCTACTGCTAGATCAGCAGGTCAGCGGTTCAAATCTCACCGGCTCAGGGTTGACTCAGCCTT